TTACCTCTGATCATGTTCCTTTAGTTTTGAATTGTGGGGGTTTGTGTTCTCGGAAAACCCCATTCCGTTTTGAGAATATGTGGCTGAGAGTGGAGGACTTCCAAGGGACAGTTCGTTCGTGGTGGGTGGGAGCGATCGTTACAGGTGCACCCAGCTTAATATTAACACAGAAATTAAGAGCTCTCAAACTCGCTCTTAAGCAGTAGAATAAGGATGTTTTTGGGAACCTTTAATGGAGGAAGAATAGAGTCTTTGTTGATTTTTCTGAGATTGATCAGCTAGAGGAGGCGGGTGGGAATGTGGAGTCTCTTTGTACTAGGTGAGCTTCCTGTCAGGCAGTTCTAGCTGAGATTGTTTGTATGGAGGAGATTTCGTGGCGACAAAAATCCCGGGCAGAAAGAGGGAGACAGTAACACAAAATTTTTCCACAGACTTGCTAATGCCCATAGAAGGAGCAATCACATAAGACGTATACGGGTAGAAGGTGTGGAGTTGTGGAGGGAGGAAGAGGTGCGTAGCGGGATCGTTTCTTTTTATCAGAAGTTTTATACAGAACCTTTAGGTTGGCGACCCAAGCTTGATGCTCTTCCTTTTGAGGCTATTTATGAGATGGAGAGAGATGGGCTAGAGCTTCCTTTTACTGAAGAAGAAGTTCTAAAGGCCTTATCTAATTGCAATGGGGATAGAGCCCCGGGGCCTGACAGGTTTACTATGCGTTTTTTGTTGGAAAGTTGGGCGGTTGTGAAAAATGAAGTGATGAGCACCTTTCAGGAGTTTCATTCTACAGGTGTATTTGAGAAATCGCTTAATGCATCATTTATTGCCCTCATCCCTAAGAAGGGAAATGCTTCAGATATTAAGGATTTTCGTCCTATTAGCTTAGTGGGTTGTATTTACAAACTCATAGTTAAGGTGCTTGCTCAAAGAATGCGAGAAGTTATGGATGGGATTATTTCAGATTCCCAGAATGCCTTTGTTGGAGGTAGGCAAATTCTTGATTCAGTTCTTATCACCGGTTAATGTGTGGATTCAAGGTTGCGTAATGGTGTTCCTGGTGTTTTGTGTAAATTTGATATTGAGAAAGCTTATGATCATGTTAATTGGAATTTCCTTCTCTATTTGCTTCAAAGAATGGGGTTTGGAAGTAGATGGAGGACATGGATTCAAACATGTTTGTCGTCTGTTAAGTTCTCAATTCTTGTGAATGGTTCTCCAACTGGCTTTTTTGGATGCTCTCGGGGTATAAGACAAGGTGATCCATTGTCATCTTTTCTTTTTCTTATTGTTATGGAGGGCTTAAGCAGACTTATGCGCCGGGCAGAGAATCTTGGTCTCATCAAGGAATTTCGGGTGGGAAAAGATATTGCAAATCAGGTGGAGATTTCTCATTTGTTATTTGCAGATGACACTCTGGTTTTTTATGATGCAGATGTGTCTCAACTTAGATATTTGAGATGCATTCTGGCTTGCTTTCAGGCACTTTCCGGGCTAAAGGTTAACGTGGCCAAGATATTTGGGAAAAGATATTGCAAATCAGGTGGAGATTTCTCATTTGTTATTTGTAGATGACACTCTGGTTTTTTATGATGCAGATGTGTCTCAACTTAGATATTTGAGATGCATTTTGGCTTGCTTTCAGGCACTTTCCGGGCTAAAGGTTAACGTGGCCAAGAGTGTGCTTGTTCCGGTCGAGAATGTACAGGACATTTCTTCTCTAGCTGCAATTCTTGGGTGTAGGGTGAGTTCCTTTCCTATCCCTTATTTGGGATTGCCCTTAGGGGTTTCTCCCAGATTAGTGGGGAGTTGGGATTCTGTGATTGATAGGTATGCAAAGAGGTTGGCAAATGGAAGAAGCAATATTTGTCAAAGGGGGTAAAGTTACTCTTATCAAGAGCACTTTATCAAGCCTCCCCGCTTATTTTCTTTCTATGTTCCAAATTTCATGCTCCATTGCTGATAGAATTGAACAAATTCAAAGGAATTTCCTTTGGGGAGGAAGGGGAGAAGAGTTCAAGTATCACCTTGTTAGATGGGAGCAAGTCTGCAAGCCTATAAAACTGGGGGGTCTCGGTATTAGACGATTGATTCCTTTTAATCAAGCTTTTTTGGGCAAATGGTTGTGGAGATACGGGAAGGAAAGACACCGCCCTTGGCATAGATTAGTTTCCTGCAGGTATGGGGATGATGTTGGCGGATGGACTACACGTCCGGTTTTTATTGCGGGAGGAGTTGGGGCTTGGAAATCTATTCGGAAAGGATTGGATGCCTTTTCTCCTAATGTTAGATTCAGAGTTCGTGATGGCAGTCGTGTTCGTTTTTGGGAAGATCTTTGGTGTGGGAATCAGTTTTTATGTCATACTTTCCCCAGATTATTTAGTATTGCTGTTGATAGACATGCCACTGTAGCTAACTGTTATCAGCTTGATAATAGTGAAATTACGTGGAATGTTCTTTTTCGGCGTTCTTTTCAGGATTGGGAGCTTGAAGATGTGAGCATTTTTTTTGGATCAATTGTATCGGCAGGAAGGAATTGGCAGGGGTTATGACAATTTGATTTGGATTCCCTCTTCTCACGGTCGTTTTGAAGTAAGGTTTTTGTTCTTATGTTTGTCAAATTTTGCACCCTATGATTTTCCATGGAAGACTATATGGCGCTCTATGGCTCCTACTAGGGTGGCTTTTTTTGTATGGACCGCCGTTTGGGGTAAGATTCTGATGATCGATAATTTGTGGAAAAGGGGAAATTATTTTGTTTATTGGTGTTGCTTATGTAAGTAGAATGGGGAGTCAGTCGATCATCTCCTAATGCATTGTTCTGTAGTGCACGACTGCTGAAATCTTATTCTTGGGCTTTTTGGCATGTATTGGGTAATGCCACGTTCTACTAAGGAGCTGATTCATGCTTGGAGAGGTTGTCGTGTGAGTAAAAGTGTTCGTGATTATTGGAGATTTGTACCACATTGCATTTGGTGGTGCATTTGGAGGGAGAGAAATAGTAGAATGTTTGAAGGAAAGGAGTCGTCTACAACGACACTGAAACTTTTTATTAGTCGTTCTCTCTTCAGTTATGTGAACAGAAGTTCTTGTTCCTCTTCTGATGATTTAATTTCTTTTTTGGATTCCTTGGGGCCTTAGTTCCCGGTTTCTCTTATGTCTATTTCCCCTATTGAACGTCTTTTTTAATTTATTATTACTTATCAAAAAAAAAAAAAAAAAATTTTTTTTAATTGTGCACCTCGCCTTTCGCCTCTAGGCTCCAAAGGACCTTTAGCACCTTAGTTTGCCTTGGGCCTTGATAACATTGCTTACGACTAAAGAAGATCTCTTGCACCTAAATTACCACTAAGCATCTCTTTATCAGTGAAAGGAATGATCTCAAATCAAAATTAATTTATTCCTTTACCAAAGCCCTAAGTACCCATCTTCATCCTTCAAACTTACTGTTAAACAGAATGATATAGTATCCATCTATCTTGGGCCACCTCTCTCTCTCTCACACACGCGTGCACATTGTTGTCTGAATATTTATTAAATTATTAAAGGGGAAGCCTACTCCTCTAATAAGATCAGGAACCCACTGCTGCATTGTAATTGGAAAGCAGGAACAAAACTATGAATATGTAATATGTGTTTAAAATTTTACAGCCTAAACAAGAATGCAAGTGTACCATAAATTTTTGATGGTGCGATGTATTTATCAGGAAAAAAGAATGATGGTGTGATTGTTCCTTTGAAATTGGTTTGGGCTTGTGTGATGGTCATGTTGCCTTTAGACGGGAACAGGAATTGATGTTCGGCAGTTATTTAGATGTTGCAATGGTAATTGGAGTAGTGGTGCGGATGGATATCATGATGGGCCTCATGCTTCATGTGCCAACGTAGGTGTAGAGAATGATTTCAGTATTTCTTTTGTAAATTTTCTTTTTAGTTGCCTTATCTTTAGGCTTGTTATTTTTGGTAGTGTTTGATTAAGGTTTATTTTTGTTGCCTATTTATATAGCTTGAAACATTGTGATTATTTCATTTTATGATTGATTGACATTATTAATTATTGAGATACAGATTTTCTCCCTCAAAGCTCTTCTTCCCTTTTCTCTGTTCTTCTTTCTCTCTTTTGGTTTTGGTCGGGTACTTTCATTAGTGGTTGTGGCCAGCAAATTTTGGAAGTGCTTAATGACCATTCATTTAGGCCATAATATTTAGCAACAAAAAAATATTTTAAGCCAACAAATGCTCTTCAAACCAAGCTAGTCTCTTATAACTAGGCTCACCAATCAACCTGGACTTTGATTCTTAGTATTCCTGCTTTATATAAAAACCATAAGGATTGTTTCCAGCCACATGTTCCCATGTGACATAACATATTAGTCCTAAATCTATTTGTAACACCACGAATTGAGAAGGTACAAGTTAGGTTTCCTTTATGAAGAATACATGTTTTGGGTTTTTCAAATGGACAAATGCTTTCTAGGAGCTTTCTGGTACTTTTCACTGATATTATTTTCTAATTAAGAAGTAAACAAGCAAACCTAGTGCATGAGGCTCCCGCCCTTGTAGGGTTTGGGGAGGGTCAGTTACATGCAGCTTTGCCTCTAAATACGGAGAGGTTGTTTCCTTGTTTCGAACCAGTGACCTCCAAGTCACAATGGAGCAACCTTATCGTTGCACCAAGCTTGACCCTCATTTATTTACATGAACATGTTGATTTTAAATAACATTTTGATACTGCATGGACTTGAGATCCTAGTTTTTCCCATAGAATTCTAGAAAATAATCCATCCTTCATAATAGGCATTGTAAATCGCTAAACTGAAAAATGGAGGACTTGAAAGTCAAAACAAAGTCCATGTTTGAGTTCCGGAAAGTGGTACATTCTTGCAATTGATTAGACATTCAGAATGCCAAATGAAAATTTATATATATATATATATATATATTTCTCCTATTGGTTATATGGTTTCTAATTAACGAATTTTTACGTCAAATTTGATATATGGCAGAAACAGAATCTGATATAGATTATCAGCAGCCAGAACTACATACCCTAGAAGTGGAAGAAGCCGGTCGTGCAATATCTGCAGCTTCCCGATTACTTACAAGACTGCTCGATTTTGAGCAGTTCCGCAGCACCATAAATTCCACCCATTTCACGAAGTTGCTCCGTAAAACCCTCATGTCAAGTATCCCTGTTCACAACAAAGATTGGGTGGCTGCTTGTCTAGTTAAACTCAGCTCTATGTCTGGTGCCAACCTAGGTTTTGAGAATCCAATCAATATGGAGGTAACTCTTTACGAGACAATCCCAAGACTCATTGAACAAATCAGAACCTCTTTTTCTGCAGAAGCGCGAGAAGCTGCTGTTGTGGAACTCAACAGAATAATTTCCGAAGAGGTGGTGGATTCCACTAGAGCTGTAGCTGCCCAGGGGGGAATATTCCCGTTGGTAAAGCTGATTGAAGAAGGGAGCGGGAGGGCTGTAGAAGCCAGTTTAGCAATACTATATAATTTAAGCATGGACAGTGAGAACCATTCAGCAATTGTAGCTGCAGGAGCACTGCCGGCGTTGAGGAGAATTGTTCTTTCACAAAGACCGCAGTGGATGCGAGCTCTTCGTCTGCTGAGGACTTTACCCACCTGATGGGATAAAGCTACTGAATCAATGGTTATGCTGAAAAAATGTAAAGAGAATTATTTCTGTATCAATTTTCATTTTCATGCTGCACTTCAATAAACTTCTAGCCTTCAAAGCAAATATAAATTCTTTTGAGGAAACAAAAGTTTATTGTTGATGTCCTCAAACAGTTGAGCTTTATGTTGAGTAATATATATATATATATATATTTTCTGTTGCCTTATTTGAATAAATCTCTCTAGTCCTTGAATCAATTATGCTTATGCTGCGTTTGGTGTGCATGAATGAAATGGAATGCAAGTGAGAATGAGAATGGAATGGAATGGCCGTTTTCATTCTAGTTTGATTGTAAATAGGAAATGTGAAGGAATGGAATGATAATAATCATTTAGTGTTTGGTTGGATTAATTTAAAATTTAAAACGGAAAAAATTTTAGAGATGAATTTTCGAGGTGTACTCTTCAGGGGTTATTAGATTATTGTTTATATTTATTTATCCATTTGTATTATGTGCTTTTCTATTATTAATTATTTGATATCTTTTGTTTTTTTTTGTTTTTTTAGTATGGACTTGATCAATCCATGCTCAAAAATTGGGGTATCACATTTTTAACAAAGCATATTCATAGTGTAATATAGTGGACCCAAAGAGAAATATTATGTAATATTGTATCTCTATGATAGACGCTGTGAAATAAGATTGGTGTAGTGATGTAATGAGTGGTGAATGCCGAAATCAAAGGTGGCAGACAATTGTAATTATGCACTACTTAGATGGTTAGACATCTGTGTGTGTGTGTATATATATATATATATGAAGACTCCAAATCTCTCTTGGATATACTCTTTCTATTTCGTTATAATAGCAAGTTATTAGTCTTATATATTTACAAAAGTTCTAAAAGCGGTACATAATTTTTTTCACTTTTTAAAATGGACTTTTTGACCATCAGCTTTTTGAAAAAGGCCTTCATAGTAACCAAATGTCAATTTTTGTTTTTTTAAAAAAGGACTTTTGAAAATTGGAAGTACGTGAAGAGGCAAAAGAAAGCTCCCCAAACGGGGCTGACGTCTTTGGAATTGAAAGTCTAGGATTTAATTCGAACTTGAATTTGTGATATTTCTAAAGAGAACTATACTTATAAATGTTATTGACACATAAAACACACAAGGTCACCAATTTGCTCTCTCAATATTCATTTATTATTAGTCCTTATCTTCCGGAAAAAAAAAAAAAAAAAAAAAAAAAAATCATTTATTATTTATGTATTTATTTTTTGCTTTCAAGATAGGAGAGTACTTTGCACTTCCCTCTTAGCTTAAATTTATTTTTATCTATTATTTTTTCTCAATCTCTGCATCTACCATGGTGTGTCACCTGACAATTGTGGAAGTTGATGCATTTATACTAGAAAATACTATTTAGTGGGCACTATGTCACGCCCAACCAATCTGACGGACGAAGATTGTGCTTTGCTCCAATTTGACAGAAGATCGTTCCTGACTTTCATGTTGCAATCAACAATGGTGATTTGGGAACTCTACGTAAAAATGGTGGCAGCTGTGGAAGTTGATGCATATATATATATATATATTGTTAATTATCATCTAGGAAATAAATGAGCTTTATGGACATGTGAGATTTAAGTGTTACGAGAGTTGGGGAATTTTAAATGTAATTTGTGAGTCTGACATTACAAAGAACTATTTATCCCAAACACTATCTAAGACATAAAAGTCAATTTAAAAGGAAAAAAATACTTTCCCTATTTTCTTATTTTCATCTCAATCTCAAGTGACTGAAACCAAATTTGTTTATCTGACCTGCGAAATCTTCGTGGTTATAATTTATATCTCATGATCACCTCATCCGTCTTTATGTGTAAGATTTTTGTTGTTTTTAATAGAAACAGATCGTATTATTAGATAATGAAATGGTCCAAAATTTATCTTCTGGAAGAAATTTTTTTTTGTTAGTTTTCTCCAGTATTTCAAGTTGCATAACAAACCCATTGATTTAGTCCAAAAGGGTTGTTTGATGCTTTTTGAAGGCTCGTTCAACATGAGTATTAAAGGATGCTAACATAGCAAAGGAGGAGGGGGATCAATTGATTGGATGCCAGAGAAAGATGAGGCGAACAAACTAGCTTCCTCTGGCCACAATAGTATCAAAATTTTATAAGCCAGAGTCCTGCCATGCAAGCTCCACACTTCACACCAACGGTATGCAAAAGTAGTTTTTAAAAAATACACAATGAATGAATAAAATTTTTACTTTATAGAAGTTTTTCATACAACTTTATTTTGCGATTTCATACGTGATTCACTTGAGTTTGTTATTGTATTTAAACTATCAATCTGGGTAAACGAATTGGAGAAGAATTACTTGGTAAACGAATTTGGCGATGAAAGAGAAAAGATAATGGTTTAAGACATGTTTGGGAAGATGTTTGGCTTCCCGAGGAAAGTAGAGAAGGAGCATCTTTTAATGAAAATTTGAATGCATGCAACAGTCAAATGTACACCGACGTTACAAAGTGGATTTGTGTGGTATAATTAGCTCTTGTACAAAAGAATTCAAAAACAGAGTCTCTGGTAGAGTGGTGGGTTGGAAAGATACCAACAAAGCAATGGCAATGTTTTTTTCTTTTCGAGTTCGATCATATTAACAATGATTTTGATGCATGTCACTAAAACTACGTAAGAGATGACGTTATAATAGTATCATCATTTTTAATACTGTCACGACTCACTGTGGTATCATCTTCCTTCACATAAAACATTCTGAATGTATCATTTTTGAACTACTTAACATTATTGTAAAATCTAAACTGTATAAAGGGATTATTCCAATATTAAAATTTCTTCATCTTCAAAGCGGAGGAAATGATTTAAACCCATAAAAGTGTGTACTTGCTTTATCGTTCATTAAAAATAAATAAATAAAATTAAAAATAATAATGTAATAATAATAAAATTCAAAAAAACCTAAATTATACCATAATCCATGAATCTGTTGCATATTAAGCCAGTCCAATCCAAAACCCACTGTGGAATAAATCCACTTTTGAATTACTTATCATGCATCTATTTTTAGACTACTTATCATTATTTTAAAATTTAAATTGTACCAATATATTTTTAGTCTAATAGTATAACCTTTTCATCTTCAAAGTGGAGTGAATGACGTAAAAGTGTATGCTTGCCTTACCGTTCACAAAAAAAAGACTAAAACTAATACTAATATAATAATAATAAAATTAAAAAAATTTGGAATTACACACTATAATAATAATAATAATAATAAAGTGTGCGCTTGCCTTACCATAATCCATGAATCAGTTGCATATCAAGCCAGTCCAATCCATGCGGGGTTCCCTTCCACCTTAGCAGGTCTACTCTGATCACCATCGCACTCACCCTGCCAGAATCATAACTCTCCTTCTCTTGTGGCTCCTACCATTCCTGAGCATACATCCCGTTATCCGACCCTTGATCGTCACTCTCCTAATTAGTATGGTTTCTCTAGTAGCACTAATCACCCTATTTCCCAGTATGTCTCCTATGATGGTCTTTCAGGTACATATAAATCTTTCCTGGGCAAGATTGGGACCGTTTCTATTCCTCGATCAGTGTCAGAGGCCCTCCAGGATCCCAATTGGGTATTTGTCATGACAACAAAAATGGATGCTTTACAATATAATAATACATGGGAACTTGTTGCTTTACCTGATGGGGAGAAAATGGTTGGCTGCAAATGGGTCTTTAATGTGAAGTACTTAGCCGATGGTTCTATTGATCAGTATAAGGCTCGGTTGGTGGCAAAAGGCTTTACTCAGATTCCGGGCAAAGACTTTGGTGCTACCTTTGCTCCTATGGCAAAGTTGCGACTGCTTATCTCCTTGTCTGCTGCCCATTCTTGGCCTCTACATCTGTTAGATTATATATATGGATTATATATATAAGATTATATATATGGATCCACCCCCTGAATTTCGAGCTGAGGGGGAGTATGCTGGGAAAGTCTGTTGGCTACAGAAGTCTCTTGATGGTTTGAAGCAATCTCCTAGAGCTTGGTTTAGTCGTTTAAGTGATGTTGTTTTATCCATGGGCTTTGTGTGCTGGCACTCAGACCATACTTGCTTTATTTGACGTCGCTATGATGGTCGTTGCATTATGTTATTGGTATATGTGGAAGATATCATTATCACAGGTGATGATGCTTCAGGGATTGCTCAGGCGAAACGTCATCTTTAAAAGTCCTTTGATGTGAAGGACTTAGGTCCTCTTCGATATTTTCTTGGAATTGAGGTTGCTAGATCCCGTCGTGAAATTTCTTTATCTCAAAGGAAATATGTTTTGGATCTTCTTCAAGATACTGGCATGCGTGGGTGTCGACCCGCTTCCACTCCTATGGACTCCAATCTCAAACTTTCTGTTGAGTCAGGGGAATTACTTCCAGATCAGTCTGTGTATCAACGTTTGGTAGGTCGTTTTATCTACTTAACTAGTATAAGGCCCGATTTGACATTTGCTGTTAGTGTGGTTAGTCAATTCATGCATGCCCCTCGCTCAGCTCATATGGATACAATCTACCATATTTTGAGGTATCTTAAGTCGTGCCCTGGTCTTGGTCTGTTCTATGCCTCAGGAAATCAGTTTGGACTCTCATGCTTTACTGATGCAGACTATGCTAGATGTAAGAGAGAGATGTTCTACCTCTGTCTTCTGTACTTTCTATGGTAATCATCTCATATTATGGAAGAGTAAGAAGCAAGTTGTTGTCTCCAGATCCTCTGCTGAAGCTGAATACCGAGCTATGGCTCAAGGTACTTATGAGCTCCTTTGGTTTCAATCAATTTTAAGAGAGTTGGGTGTTATAGAGAAAGGTTCTTCAAGGCTATTTTGTGACAATAAATTAGCCAGTATGCTTGCTTCCGATTTTGTCTTACATGAAAGGTCGAAACATATTGAGGTAGACATTCACTTTATTCGAGAGAAGGTTCGATCAGGTATCATTAATCATATTTTTGTTCCCTCTTCAGAATAGATTACAGATGTGTTCACAAAGTTTGTTGGTCCTTCTCTTCTCCGGTCTTCCATAGTCAAGCTGGGTTTGGTCAACATATTTGCTCCAGCTTGAGGGGGAGTGTTGGAAATCATATTTATAAGTTGACTCAATGATTGTGACAGATTTATTGGGTCTTTATTATAGGCTAATGTTTAGGGATTTTATTTTTATTCTAATTTTATTTTATTCTCTTTATTCTGATTTAATTTTTCCATATTTGTAATTTTTCTCTTGTATATAATGATAGTCAAGCTCTCAAATTGAGTACGCTAATTTTATCAAGTTACTTTTTATATATTATATATATTGTTAATTATCATCTAAAAAACTGAAAATAAGTGAGCACGTGTGAGATTTAAGTGCCAAGAGAGATGGGGAATTTAAGTGAAGCTGTGCTAGAGGGTAGATTAGCCATTAACTGTAATTTGTAATACACGGAGGATATATATATAGAGGGAGTTAATTAGTCTTTGGCATTATAAGAGCTATCAACCGGTTACCCCAAACACTATCTAACACATAATAGTCAATTTAAAAATGAGATATATACAACTCCATTATACTTACACATTTCATCTATATTTCTTATTTTCATCTCAATCACAAATGATTGAAGCCAATTCGATTATCGTACGAAATCTTCTCAATATTACTTATAATTTATATCTCAATCTCAAGGGATTACCTCCTCCGTGTTTCTGTGTACAATCTTTATTATTTATTAGAAATTTTTTTGTTTAGTTTTCTCCAGTATTTCAATTTGCATAACAAATCCATATTGATTTAGTTCAAAGGGGGTTTTGATGTTTTTTTGAAGGCTCATTCCATATGCGTATTAAAGGAGGCTAAGGAAGAGGGGATTAATTGACTGGATGCCCGAGAAATATGAGGTGAACAAACTAGCTTCCTTTGGCCACAATAGTGTCAAAATTTTATAACCCAAAGTCATCACAGCTTCACACTTCACACTAACGGTATGCAAAACTCGTATTTAAAAAATACACAATGAATGAATAAAAAATTTACTTTATAGAAGTTTTTCATTCACCTTTATTTTGCAATTTCATACGTGATTCACTTGATTTTGTTATTGAGATTTAAACTATCAATCTGGGTAAATGAATTGGAGAAGAATTAATTTGGTGATGAAAGAGAAAAGATCATGATTTAAGAAAAAATTATTAAATGATTTTGATCTATTTCACATTTGGTGGACTAATTCAATGAAAACCCTTCGATTATGAAACTTTGTAATCTATTAATACATTCTTGTGGTCATTTTCTCAATCCGAAAATCTGTATTTAACTGATATATTTAGTGTTAATGGTCTAAGACTATCAAATATTTCTCTTAATTTAAGACATGTTTGGCCTTCAAGAGGACGAAGCGAAAAGAGGAAAATAGAGAAGGTTTTTCCTTTTAATTAACTAAAAATATAAATGGAGCATCTAAGTATTAACGAAAATTTGAATGCATGCAACAGTCAAATGCATACCCACGTTACAAAGTGGATTTGTGTGGTATAATTAGCTCTTGCACAAAAGAATTGAGTGGTGGGTTGGAAAGATACCAACAAAGTAACTGGCAATGTGTTTTTTTTTTTTTTTTTTTGTGCTTAATCGTATTAATAATGATAATAATAATAATAATAATTTATACTTATAATAATAGCAATGATTTTGATCATTTTACTAAAATCGTGTAAGAGATGACATTATAATAATATCATCATATTTAATAATTTCACGATTCATTATAATGTCATCCTCATTCACATAAAACATTTCAATGTATTCATTTTTAGACTACTTAACATTATTGTAAAATTTAAATTGTACCAAGAAATTATTCCAATGTTATAATTTCTTCATCTTCAAAAAGGAAAAAATGATTTAAACCTATAAAAGTGTGTGGTTGCTTTATCGTTCATAAAAAATAAATAAATAAAGCTAAAAATAATAATATAATAATAATAAAATTAAAAAAAAAAACCTAAATTATACTATAATCCATGAATTTGGTGCATATTAAGCCGGTCCAATCCAAAGCCCACTGGAATAAATCCACTTTTGAATTACTTATAGTATATTTACTTTTAGACTTGTTATCATTATTTTAAATTAAAATTATACCAATATATTTTTATTCTAATGGTATAACTTTTTCATCTTTAAATAATACTAATATAATAATTATAAAATTAAAAAAATCTGGAATTATACTATAATCAATGAATCAGTTGCATATCAAGCCGGTCCAATCCAAATCCACATTAGACAAAAATAAAAAATAAAAAATAAAAATTAAAAAAAAAAAGAAAAAATATCCAAAGCCCACATTCGGATTAAATATCTGAAAAGAAGATATTTTGCCCCACATTACAAACTTTTACAGTTGCTCTCACTTGCTTGGTAGTTTTTCCATTCAAGAGAGAGAGACATGGCTTGTTTAAACTGCCTTTCATCCACCAAAGCTCTCGTATTCGCCTCTCTACCCAACAACCCTCGTCCTCAAACTAAGCGTACGCCTCCAGTGCGCAGGATAAAAACTTCCACCACACCACCACCAACTATCCAACAACAAAAACAGCCCTCAGTTGCCGAAATCGAACGAGCCATCGGCACCGGCGTTTTCCGAGACAGAGACACGGACGACAGGCAAACCCTAATTCTTTCTCTCACTACACTCTCACTTTCTTTCTTGAATTTATAATTACCATAACTATGAATCATGTCTAATTGTGAACTGATGGTCATTGTTGATTGTGAATTTCTGAAGTTTTGAACTGATTGGCATTGTTGATTGTGAATTTCTGAATTTGGGTTTGTTTCTATTTCCAATTTCAGGGACTCGAAACAGAGTGAGACTCTGTTTGATGCAATTTTGTCAAATACAATTGGCAAAACTGAAGGACCGGCCGAGAAGAAGCTTCGGGAGACTGGAGAGTGGATCATTGATAAAAGCGAGAGCGTTACTCACTCTGCAGGTAATTCTATTTCCTCTGCTTTCTCTCTGATCTATTCGAATTTTGTTTATTTTGAGAATCTTAATGTTTGAGATGAGAAATTGTTTACTTGGAGATGTTGATTTTACTTATTAGCTGGTTTCCTTTAATTATGATTTGATATTATCTTTGGAACTTGTTGCAAAATTGATTTTCAGAATGAAACTAAAATGTCATTACCCATTTTTGTCCTTGTTAGCCTAGGGTGCTAAAAAGGGCAAGTTAAATGGAACCTTTGATGTTATTTGCACAAAGTGGCTTCCCATGGACTCAAATCGAATATTTTGTGCTCTCTTTATTTTTGGGTGAACGGGAAAAGTTGTTCATCTACTGTTAGCCTGTTGGAGTTCATGGACAACTTGTATTTGTAGGGGGGCCTATGGTGTCTTTTGATTTTGTTGTTGAGGGTTCGCTCCCCACCCCCCTTTTTTTTTTCAAAAAAAACGTATGGAAGTTCTTTATGGTTTAAAATGAATATAAAAGAAATTACAATATGTTGGTTGAGGAAATGCGAAGAGTCTTGTGGTATTTTTGTGATTTTGTTGGCCCACAAATCCATTTTGATCTGCATAGACCTGCCCCTAGCCCAAAGTCATAACCCAAATCTACCCAAGCTCATTGTGAACCACAACTCCTAATCTTTATGGACTTAATTAACCTAGATCCTGAGAGAGAGAGAGAGAGAGATTCTTTACTAGGACTATGTGTAATTTGTATGGTTTGTATAATATACATACAATTTGTACACATTTTATCCTTCTAGTGGTTCCTGTGACTGTGTCATTTATATGGTTTGTATAATTCATACAATTTGTATTTATTTTATCCTTCTTGTGGTTAATTTTGTTTAATTTGTAGGATTCGAATACTTCTTAGCCGTTGTATGATTCATAAGAACTATATGATTCATACAATATGTGCAACTCCTGCCCTATATTAAAACGTAGGGTCCAAAACAGAAAACATAGAGTCCAAACCCTTGAGAGGAAGGTGGCAGCTTGAAGAAAATTGTGGACCAATTCCATAAGGAATTTCGTACTGAATGGACAAATCATGTGTCCTAGTTGATCAAAATCTCAAAAAAAAAAAATAAAAAATAAAAAATAATAAAAATCCAATTAGCAACAATTCTCTTGAGCATAATGAAAGTGAAATTGATTAGAACCTCTTCAAAAGAAGAAATTCTGATTGAAGATGGGTTGACTACAGTATTAGTTGATGAAAAACAAAGCATTTTGCCTCTTCAAATGAGGATCCTGAACAGATGGTGGCATGATTTTTATCTATTGAGAAATCTGAAGAGACCTAAGAAAGTGTGACAGAATTGCCTTCTACGGAGTTGCCTTTTTCTATAGTGGTTCATTTCTATAAATTTGTCGTGAATAATAAAGTTGTAGACCTTGGACGGACGTGAATTATTCTTTGACCATGACTATCACTCTTTTGGGAATCAATTTACATCGAGATTTGGTTTAAAAGGAGGCACTTAATCATGTTGTCATTTTGCTTTTCTTTTTCTTTTTTTGATAAGTAAGATTTCATTAAAGAATGCTCAAAAGGTGAGTGCATCCTGAGGAACAAAACGGTCCAAGAGGGCCCAGCTATTCTGACAAAGTATCCACAAAACACACTATATCTGCCACAGATTTACAATATATTCCATGTACCAAAAGGAATAAAGAACTACTTATAAAAAAAAAAGAAAAAGAAAAAAAAGAACTTGTAAAAATTAACTTTTCATCACTTTCTTTCTTTCTTTCCAGTCCTGCATTAGTTTCGTATTAGAGCACTTTTTAGTTCCATATCATAAGGTCCAATATGTGATGGCAAACTTGTAAAAATTATGTCCAAGCATAGGCCTTTACCTAGTCTACTCTTCCCTGCATCCCATGTTGGAGGAACCAGAACAAGTAATTTAGTAATTTTTTATTTTATTTTATTTTTAAACCAATCTTCGCAAAGATCAAAATAGTTTTAGGTTGCAGAAACTTGAGCTTACATGATGAAAAGAGCCAACTTTGTGAACTGATTGTTGAAATAATACTTGGAAACTTAAGTTCAATGAGTAATCCATACTTATAAAAAAAAATTCAATTGAGTAATCCATGGCATTCATCCTTTCAAGTGGTGAATGTCCTTTTGAGCATCACAAAAAGCCATGAGTTGCACTAGGTTGTAGCCTTAGCTTAATAGCAGGGTTGACAATGAACATATCTTTTGTCGAAGCTCAACATCAATAGAACGAATTTCTTTGTTATTTAACCCTCCTTTTATTATCTTTAAAGCCACTGTTTTCTTTTGTGGGACTATAACTGGGGCTTCATAGAAACCATATGTATCCCATAAGGACAAGAGGTTATATGTTTAGGCTGTCGTGAAAAGATACTTGATCGCTTAATCCTTAGAGGGACCTCTATCCCACAATGCAGAATACTCTTGTGATAATGTCTAAAGCTATTGCCAGTTGCGATTATTTGCATTGTGGACTGACTTTAGTTTATCCTTGCATATTTACAGGCTTCTATTGTAAACCTCTACAACTACTAAGAACTGGTAAAAATTGTAATAATATCTACTGCTAAAAGATCAGAATTTCAAGGCCTACTCTAGTCTATTGATACACATGGAATATAAAAAAAATCATTGTTTGGACCCTTTGGGGCATTTTTTTTTTTCTCTGAAACACAGGTCAAATTTTATGTGGTGCGCATTAAAAAGGTAGGAAATTTATTCTTAGTTTTAAGTGAGTTTTCTCATTTTCGTTTTTGAGTTTTCTTATTCTTGGCAAGTTTATCCTTTTCTCAAGGCGTATTTTTTTTTTTTTTTTCCTGGCTTACTGTTGAAGACACATGGTTCTTGTGTCTGCATGACACACTTTTCCTTGTCTTGATCATACTGGCACGTGGTAAACAAACGCGTCCACGTAGATGAACAATGTGAAAGTGTAAACAAGAAAGTGCATTACAAATTGTCATTTTCAAAGAGAGAAGGAATAACTGAGCATAATCTACTTTCTACAGTATGTCTCTTGGATAACATGCATTTTTGTTTATGGATCAAATTTGTGTAATTGCATTTTACTGTATAATTACTGGACGAAACAATTTTTTTTAAAAAATATTTTATGTGGTAAAATTAATAGCTGCTAGTCTTTGCTCAGTAATAATAATAATATCCTAACCATAATACCGGAGCCCTAAAAGGCTGGAACATGACAAAGTGGCAGACCAACACACTTTCAGCCTTCTCTAGACATCATCCTTGGTAGCTTCTTTCACTTTGATTGCAGGTATCCCATCTTCTAGTTAGCGATCTTTGTGGTGGCTTTTCTCCACCCATACTTTATTCTCGGGGAGGTCTCCTTTGAGAATACCGACTCTACTTTGTACTAACTAAAATGGTAGTGTCTGCTCAAATACCTAATATTACTAGCCCAACCAGTATGCTAATAGCTGAATGCCACGAATCATTCAGAATCGAGTCAAGCCTCAAACCCTTTCATAAACAAACTAATGGGTAATCTGTGGTATAAATTGCTGGTGTCATCTGAATATTCGACTGTATCTAATTTTCTGTTATTGATGCTATAATGTCATGTTGCATTTCATTCTTTAAATATTCTTTCTTGTGGTTAGGCTTTTATTTATTTTTTTGGCTAAGCATCTCTCTCTCTCTCTCTGTTTTTTTTTTTTGGTGGTGGCAGGAAAGAGAATTTTGGTGGTTGTGTTTCAGTGGATTCTTCCAATGTGGCTTTTGGCATTCCTAGTGGCTTCTGGGATCGTAAAGCTACCATTCAGCACACCGTTCCTTGATGACCTGATTATGTGAACGACAAAATCTTGTGTCGGTTCGAGCTAAGTTTTCACTGTTACCGCTAATTATGGTTGTACTATAATATATTTTCATGCCATGCAGGTTAGTGTGATGTATCGATTTAGACTTGTTTACCAATTTCAATCTCACATCAAATATGAAGTCTCTGGTAGGATTGAACATATTGAATGTTAAAAATATGTTCATATGTTGCATCTATATGTATAGCCAGTTCACTGATGTAATTAACAGTTCATGGGTAAACTTTATATGTAATTTTTGACAGTTTTAAGTCCAAGTTTGTTTCATGACAAGGACATCTTCTTCTTTTTTTGAAAAGTTTAATGGCAAGGACATGGTTTTGGTTATATTCGTGTCATTACGAAGAAAAAGAAAAAAACACTCATTTACAGCCTCTTGGAAATAAATGTTAATGTTTGTTAGACATTCTTTTATATATTCTTTATGCAATTCATGATATAACACGCTTATGATGGAGAGCAAAAAGTCAAAAACACATAACGTTACATGCGAGTACTTGTGTGAGGAGGCACTTCCTCTACACTCTCAGGTGCGATGATACAATTAACGTAGGAAAAGTTGAAGGCCTACTTGATTTGTAACTATAGAAACAATTTTTTGAAAATTCAGTTATAAAAAGGCATGTTTTTAGATAACAGTCTTTTATTATTCTCTGAAACTGTTATCTGTTTTATGAGTTTCTGAGAATTATTTTCACGCTTACAAACCAAACATGCTTGTTGTCTTTACGTATCTCGGATACAAAATTGGTCATTGGTCATTTCGTGTGTGGAGGAGGTTCTTCTTCACCGGTGAGGAGACAAGTAGTGTTCATATCTAAAACCACATATCGAGTTCTACATTTTTCCGGGGTTAGTCTCTTAGATCGGATTTTTCATATTGCTTCGTGACCCTATGTAAAGAACTTCCGATCGAGACATTACAATCTAAAATGTTACTCTGCATTTTGTTCGTTCCCTCCTCTGGCATGTTCAAAAAATTGCAACTCCAAAGACAACTTTTCTATTGTCATCAATGGGTTGCCCTTCTCAAAAAAACATATGCCAATAACCTGCAAGAAGACTTACCTTTAGAAGTTAAGTACTAACAGAAGATTCATCATTAGAAGATTATTGAAGTACTAACAGAAGACTTTTTTTTTTTTTTTTTTGAAAATAATATTTTTTATTTTTTATCTCAAAAGTTCAAGCAAGCACACACTCACTATTTGTGTCTCTACTTAATCTCAAACCCTGAACCATCCCAAGAGAGAGAAGAGTTTGTACCATCTAGGTTAGAGCCGATTGATAAGCTGTTAGAGGTGTGTTCCATGGAAGTGAAATGGGTATATGTGCGCTGGGAGAAGCTAGTGTGCCTAAGGGGCACATGCCCCTGCTTGAAGAAAGATTTCTCTGCACATTTATTACTTCTCAGGATTCGTTTTGGGAGGGAGGAAGAATACATAAAGGCTCGTTGATGGGGTTGGAGGACCCCTCTTCGGATTCAGATCTTGTGGCTAACAAAAGTTTATTCATTTTCGATTGTGTCATCAACCAATTGTATTCTGACATAAGTAAAAGTGCTTTATTTTACTGAGTTCTATCATTACATCACGATATTTAATAAGCTGGTGATACATTGTCATTACTACAACCAGTGCAATTAAGTTTTTCTCCCTGCCTGGTTCCGCTCACTATAAAATATAGTAATTTTTTATTTTATTTTTATATCTATAGGAAAACTTTTATATAATGCTCCCCCTAAAATTTTTAATTTCTAAAATTATCTTCTAAATTTTTCTTCCATTTTTTTTTTTTTTTGCTCTTAATATTTCTTTGATTTAAAGAAAAGTTAAAATTTCCTTCTTTACTCAAATTCTAATTTTTTTCTTTTCTTTCAAAGTTCTCATTTTTCTTCCTTTGTTTTTTTTTTTTTTTTTTTTAACTTCATAAATTCTTCTTTTTGCAATTAAAAATGATGCATATTGTTGTTGACACTCATTTTGGTAGTTGGGCTTGGATTGCAATTGAGCTGAAGAATGCTGTAAGTGGGCTGGAAGTGTAGCGACATGGTAAGGGTTTGGATGCTGAGAAGAAGTTCGGCTTAGTATATGGGCCAATTGTAGGGTTGGGCTTTTGACTGAAGGAAGCGTTGGGCAATTCCACATGTAATACAAATTGCATGCAAAAACATATTTTGAATTTAAATGATAGATATGGATTGTAATTTCAGTATTTATTTTTTAGTGAGGTGCAATTAAATATTAAGGTTACCAATAGGTTAATTTAGTTTGAATTTATAGTTAGTTGGGTTATCGGTAGGTTAATTTAGATTTTATTTGAATAATTATTCAGTTGTATTATAGTGTTATAAAACAATTAGAATGCTTGTATGTAGAAAGTTGGTTTACGTACTTTTCTATAAATAAACAAGGAGGCATGCTGTACTAGAAGTCCATCACCCTCAGAATCCTTTAACTTATTTGTTTGCTTTCTCAAGCCTTCCTAAGAATAGCATCCTTCCTATTTCTTATTTCTCTCTATCTATCTCTCTCAATCTCTGGCTCTATCTATTTCTCTCTCTTTCTTTCTCAATTTTTCTTTCTATATTTTTTTCTATATCTGTTTCTCAGTTCCTTTTAACTAAGGCAATTCTTGAACTCAAAGAGGAGTATCACTGTTTTCTTTATTCTCACATCGTCTAAAAGTCAATCTTCCAAAGAGACTATAGTTGACTATTTACAATCGAATCATACAATTGGTTCTGCCACGCCTGTTATACATCAATCTAAGATCGACTCTAACAGACCGATATTAGCGTCAACAATAGTATTAAATTTTTTTTTTTTAGTCTTCTTATTTAAATTATATATATATATATATATATTACACTTCACCCCTAAATTAAGATTCAGACTCCACCTACGTGGAATATGCAAAACTACCCAATAACTTAATGATAAACAACTGACTTGTTAAAGAAACAAATTAAGTCTAAATTCAGTCCTTAATCTCATATCATGGCGCACCAATACATAAACATAGCACTTGATCACATGAAGTGAGAGCATTTATATAATACAATAATTAATATTTTTATACAACTTTATTATTCATTCTTATTTTTATACGACTTTATTATGTTTTCAATTATATCTCAATATTAAATCAAAAGAGTAATGAAACAGATTCATGGTTGTAAAACGATTCATATTTGTTTGTTTGGTATGAAATCTTTTTATGTTGGTTAGATTCTAATTAATTAAATTGAGTCTGTTATCATGGTTACCAAGTTCTAATTCATTCCATGTCCTGAAATTTCTTGTCATTTACTAAAAAAAAAAACTTAATTGAGATCATTGATAGGAATGTTTGGTTGTCCAGATCATCACATTTTAAATGTTTATAGTTACTTTTTAATTAATTTATGACATCTAGAAAGATTTTAACACGTATTGTATTGGACTTTATTTGGGTATTAAGTTGAGCATATGGTAAAAAGTTTTAATTATTTGCAAGGGCAAATTGCATGAAACCCCCTCCACTTCCTATTTTTGGCATAATTTTTTTTAACATAAAACTCCCTAACAATTTTTATTGTTGCAACCTGGCACCTTAATGATGAAGATGTCCCCTAGAGTTTTTCAAAAATGATTTTCATTTTAGATTTTTTTTTCTTTTTTAATTTTTAAAAATAGAACTTCAGACAATTTTGAAAACTACATGCCATTAAAGTGATGTAATAATGACAAAATACACCTTTATATAAATATATGAAAATTTAGGTTTTCTTTAAAATAATGTTCGTTTTAGGTTTTCTTTTCCTTTTATTTTTTAAAAAATAAAAATATAAGAAAATTTTAAAAATCCAAAGTATATATATATATATATATATTTTGTAGATGCACCATTAATTATTTTTATTTTTCATAAATAATTTTAAATAACACTATGTTGATTGAGTCATTTGTATTAACTTTAATCTTCAATTAAGTGGCACCATTTTCTTAAAATATATTTATATTATATTAATGGGCATTTTCATCATTAGGGGTAGTATTGCAGCAAACAAGGAACTTGGGGTGGTTTTATGTCAAAAAAATTTTGGAGGGATTTTTTTTTTTTTGCCAAAAAACGAAATGAGAGTGTTTTATGCAATTTGCCCTATTTGTAATAAAATTATGAGACGCGGAAATATTTTTAACATGTCATCTAAGCCAATGATATAATTTCACCATCGTCAAAAAGTAGGTGATTGTATTTTGTCAATGAAAAAATAAAATAAAAAATTAGCACTTATTATATTAAAATTCGTATAGGCATTAAGTTGAGCATATGGTAAAGAAGTATTATATTTTTATATAATTTGTGTTACTAATTAGCTTCATGATTCTTCTAGTGCTTTATGAGATTCAAACATTAAATAAAATTCAAGCGCTAATTTCATTTCATTAAGCTTTTCCTCTTTTTCTTTAAAAAAAAACATTTTCGCAACAATATTTTTGACAATTATTATATAAAGAGAAATTGATATGCACACTTCACTTTAAAACACACGTACAAAATTAAAGTGAACATTGCATACATATATATGTGGGTGTGAGTTGAACTTGGTGCGACTTAACTCCAACTTAAAAATATGTTTAAAATAGATGTAAATATATAATAAAATTATTAACAAAATCTCAATTAATTAAAATTTCAAATGATTTAATATATATATATTTAAAATCCAATAAAGCCTTAACTTGAAATGGTATGTCCTCCAAACTTCAAAAGGAAGATTGAGAGTTCGATATTTGATAGGAACGTATGTATAATCCAACTTACTTATAAAAAGTCGGGATGACAAAGGTTGTCAAACACTTCAACCCAACCATAATGCAAATTAAATTTGGCTTAAGGTTTTCAACTTAAATACAATGTTAATTGAAAACTAGTTCAAGTTAGAGTAACATTTGATTATCTTTGAGTGGAAAACAAATAAAATATTATATTATATGAATTAATCTAAATAGATATAAGACTCGTCATATAACTTGTAACACCATATAACTCGTTTAATAATTCATTCAATATTTTACTTAATTATAAATACAAATATAAGACAAAAAAAAAACAGTAAAATATTTAACTAAAAATTCTGGAATTACTATCATTTTCATTTGATCAAAATAAGTCACATCATCAACTAATGGTCCAACTATCTTATAATACTAATTATATATATATAATTTAATTTAATTTAAATTTTCTTTTAACATGATTTAATTAAACAATTCAAATCAATTGACCCACCCAATCCAAATATAATAAGATTAATTAAAAAGAAGAAGAAGAAAATAACCGAATAAGCACAATTATGACAAAAACAAGGGTAGATCTGAACGGAGAGACATTAGAATATAATGATGCCACATACCGAACGAGGGGTCAGTCAGCCAAAGCCAACTAAGTCGGAATAAGACTTTCTTCTTTCACAAACACACAGAAAAGTGTGTGTGTGTGTGTGTGTGTGTGTGTGAGAGAGAGAGAGAGAGAGAGAGAGAGAGAGAGAATAGTAAACCATTTTCTTCATTTGCTGCATATTTGTCAATTTGTAGGAGACAGATTAGAGAGAGAAAAAGAAGGCCTGAAGAACACGTCTAGAGAGAGAAAGCACCGTCGCCTGAGGGCAGAGAAAGCGGCCGATCGCAACGGCAACGGACTAGAGAGAGAAACAGCCGCTGCTTCACTGACAACCAAATGGGCACTCTCCAGACATGGCGAAAGGCCTACGGCGCTATCAAAGATCACACCAAAGTCGGCCTTGCCCATGTTAATAGCGATTTCAAGGTCGCCTATCCCCCGTCTCTCTCTCTCTATATATACATATATATGCGCGATTCTTGTAGATTATGTTGATTTGATTGTATTCTATAATTAGGATGTTGATGTGGCGATCGTTAAAGCTACGAATCACGTTGAGTGTCCACCCAAAGATAGGCATCTCAGAAGTCAGTTTTCTTATTCATAGATCCAAAATTTTGTTTTGTGGGTTTTCAATTTCTGGATAAAATTTCATGTGAAAATTTGATTTTATGGTTTATTTCTTGCAGAAATTTTGGCCGCCACGTCTGCGATTCGGCCTCGTGCCGATGTTGCATACTGTATTACCGCTCTTGCAAGACGATTGGTGAAGACACATAATTGGACGGTATGTATATTACTGTTTTCAGATCAAAATTAGTTTGTATTTTGCGCCAATTGTTTAGATTTGATGTTTGTCCCAATTGAACTTTTTTTTGGTTCTTGTTTGTGGAAATGAATTGGGGTTTACTCATCAATTTTTTTTTTTTTCTTTTTTCTTTTCTAAATAAACAATTTATCACTCTGTGTATCTGCATATAAATACTATGTTGCATCCTATTTTTAGTTGATAGTTTGAAATGTGAAAATCTGTTTAGTACTGCCTGAATCTTAAGCGACATAATTTATAGAATGGTGTTCTTGCACAAGGAAATGCTGCAAGTTTCTGATGAATTTATATCTGCAAAGTGTCACACAAACTTATGATATACAATACTCTAATTTGTATTGATGTAATAGAGTTCTACGGATCATGACCAAGCTGGAGCTCCAAATCTAATCCACCTTCGTCGCTTCCACCTTCTTTCTCAGCATCTTTCATGGACTGGGCACCAAATCAACACTTCTAGAAGGAAAAATAAATCAGTACTTAGTTCAGAATAGTTATGTGGATTCATTACTGGGTTGATTCTTCATATTGAAGAAACTTGAATAGAATATTTGTTCAACGCAGCAATGTTTTCCTTTTTAATTAGTATTAAAAGTTTACAGTACTATTAATTTAGTATTTAAAAAATTCAGTTTTTAAAACTATAAGTTTTTCTCGGATGATTTTTAATTTTATTAAAGGAGGGGATCGAGGTCCTTGTTTTTGAAGAACTTGTTAATATGAAGAAATCCTCCTCCTTTTGTATATCTTCTCCCTCTCTAAGAAAATTTATTTATTATATAAAAAAAGGTGTTTCAGTTGCTGCATCCTTCATCGCAATCCAAGGATCAACTTTTTGGCATCTGCTGATCCAACTTCAACACCATAGCTTGTATATTTCTATTTGATGTCTATATATATATATATATTTTTTTTTTTTTTCCTTTTTTTCTTTCTTTCTTTACTATACATTATATTTTCCCTGAAATACAAATGATTGTATATTTGTATGGATATGTGATATTATCTTTATTATCCACCACCACGTCCTCCTGATTCAAACTCCTACTGTACATTTTTTATTTTTTATTATTATTATTTATTTATTTATTTATTTTTTTTCTGTGTAATTTGACCAATTTAATATTGCTTTAAATAGCATCAAATTCCTATCAATCAACATTGCTACTGATACATAATTACCGCTAACATTGTCGGTGATAGAGCTACAAAAAATGTTTGACAATTTCAGTTACATGGCTTATTTATAACAGAAGTCTAGCTCATCTTGCGTGTGATTGTGCCTATATCTGTGAAATCATTCTTATTGTTCAACAGGTGGCATTGAAGACTCTGATAGTTATCCATAGGACGTTGAGGGAGGGTGACCCTACTTTTAGAGAAGAACTTCTGAATTTCCAACAGAGGGGACGCATTCTCCAATTGTCTAATTTCAAGGATGATTCAAGCCCCATTGGTCAGTTTTGTTACCCTACGCTTGTTCTTTGTTTCCTTTTCATCATTACTGGCTTTTATCTGGTCTTAGTTGAACTGACCACCTTAATTTTATAGTAGGAAAAAAAAAATTGATGCTTCTGATTTTTTTTTTAATTACCTGTTATTGAAATTCTTTATTTCATTTTATTCCAGCTTGGGACTGTTCTGCCTGGGTACGTACATATGCACTGTTTTTGGAGGAACGACTTGAATGCTTTAGGGTTCTGAAGTATGATATTGAAGCTGAGCGTCTTCCTAGACCTGCCCAGGGGCAGGAGAAGGTATACCTCAAATATATACATGTTTATGTAAAATTAGTTCTGTATATATTTTTACTAGAGGACAAGGCAAAGGCATTAATGATAAAGTTTCCTCAACTAGAATGAGCTTTTGATTTTGGATTAATGCATTTATTTCTTGAACTTATGTGTTCTTTTTTGTTGTCAATCAGTATCTTTGTATTATCTGTGTTTCTTTTTCTTTGTAAGGCCATTAAACAATTAGATTTGATTAAAATTCTCAAGATAAACTAGAGGTTTTCTTGTTCATATAACATATAAGTAAAGTATATGGATGTTGAATGTCTTTGAAGAAGCTCTAGATTCAGTATAGGATGTTTATCTTGCCGTTGGGAGTTTATGCTTTGAAGAACCTCTAGATTCATTATAGGGCAAAGTGAGAAAAACACCCCTAATGTTTACATTTTGAGGAAATAATACCCCTATCCTTTATTTTGGGTATACAAGTCCGTTGAGTTTGAAAAACGTGGCAAAGAAGGGCTTAATATCTATATTTTATCAAAAAATGACCTTTAAGAAGTCATGTGCATCCTTACATAACTATTTTACGTTATAAAATCCCTGAAACACCCTTTTGATCTCTCAAAAATGACCCTTATACCATTTTATATATAAATAACATTTCCCACTCTTTTTGCAAACCCATAGGGCAGTTTAGTCTTTTTACATTTATTTAGATTTTCACTTTTTTATTTTTTATTTTTTATTTTTTGTGCAGTTACATAAGGGCATTTTAGTCTTTTAGTTGTTTTACTGACAATAGGCCCTTGTTCGCACCAAAAGTAAAGCATAGGGGCTTTTAAGAACATATAGGGGGTTATATACCCTATATGCATACTATAGGGGTGTTTATTGCCCACGACCCTTCATTATAGGAGGCCATTGAAAGTTTAGGTTAAATGTAGTAATTGATTGATGAAGTCGATCTTTTATATGTGGTTTAGTAGTTTCTTTTTCTTTTATTTTCTTTTCTTTTTGTAATTTATGTTGGAAGCAGGGTGAGGCATTTCACCTGCACAAGAGAGGTATTTCCTCAAGACGATGATGGAATAAAGCAGTTTGAGAATAGATGAGAGAAGACGATAGTAATTTGGGAAATTTTCACCACACTAAAATGATGGTGTCCTATTGTGTTTTTATAGTTACAACAATAAGAGAGCGATGGAGAGATTCTCTCAACAAACTTATTTGAGATTCAAGTCTCAACAAACTTATCTCAACAAACCTATCTGGATTTCCCTTTCACCTGATTTTCTGGTTGATCCAATATATCATTAGCTAATCTCTTAACACCCCCCTTCAAGATGATGGTGGAGCAAGGATGAACCAACTTGTCTCTTAGTAGTTGAAAATGGGGTACCGATAGAGCTTTGTTGAAGAAATCTGCTGGCTGGTCAGCACTAGGAACAAACACGATTTTTAGAGAGCCACTTAAAACACATTCCCTTAAGAAGTGATAGTCAATCTCAATATGTTTGGTTCTGGCATAAGGAACTGGGTTGGAGGCTAAGTATGTAGCACTGATATTGTCACAGTGAAGGATTGGAGGATGGTGTAATGGGATTTTCAACTCTCGAAGAAGGTATTTAAGTCGCTGCATATCAGCTGTTGTGTGTGCTAATGCCCTATATTCTGATTCAGCGCTTGATCTAGAAACAATGGATTTTCATCTCTCTCTTATATACTTCCCCTTTATTTTGATTTAATTAGAAAAGGGGAAGTATATAACACGTAAAAACAAAATGCTCAACTCTTTTAAATGAACTTTTTGAAAGCATTCTAGAATACCTTAAAGAGAGTTAAATAAAATGAGGTCCTTTGAGGGAGAGGAAACCCCTATTAGTGTGCTTAAGTTCTCTATTCTTAATACTTTAATATTTTTTATTAGGAGGAGATTTTGTAAATCTATAGGGGAGATAGTGGACTTTGTGGATACTACGAGTGTCTAAGGGCCCTATTTGGCCCTTGTGTGTGCTGTCTATAATACTTACTTTTCAGAAAAAAAAAAAGGGAAGAAGAAGAAAGAGTTTCATCAGCTGTTGGTTTTACAAATATTCTAGATATTGTAGGAGTTGTCATGACTGCCCCAAACCGTGTAGATATCATCTGCTTTGCACACTTGCCTCTCAGTGCTCAACGTTTTCCTCAAAATGCGTTTACATGATTAAGGGGTTTCCCAACCCCACCCCCCCCCCCCCGGAGGGGACAAAATCTCCCCAACCCCCCGCGCGAAGTGGGACGTCACAATTACCCCGAATTTGGGACCTAGCGTCCTCACTGGCTTGACACGCATGGGTTGTGCACGCCCCCCATTGTTGGCTAGGGATTGCCTCTGATAGCATTTGTAATTTTGTCATGACTTGCTCCAAACCGTGTAAATATTGTTCACTTTGCACACTCTCCTCATGGTGCTCATGGTTTTCTTCAAAATGCGTCTAAATGGTTTAGGGGTGTCTACGCATATAAATTACAGGAACTCCGGCCCGCCCCACCGTGAGCGATGTGGGACGTCACGGAAGCTGTCAATCATGGTTCAATTAAGGAACTTCATTATGAATGATAAATAGATAATGGAAAAATATAGATGCTAATATATTTTTATTTATTTATTGTTTCTTCGTAGTTGGTACTATTCACACACATGCCTTCACTGAGGCTTGAACCCCTGGCCTCCCTTTAGGAAGTAGGGGCTTGGTACCACTTGGCCACTGTCCCATTGGTGATGCTAATATATTTTTATTTACAAGTGCAATAAATAGGGGAAAACATTGTTGGTGACTTTAAAAATTAAGAAATAATAAAAAAAGTAAGATACTAAATGAGGCGTAATAACTGTGCAGAAGGCGACCTTTTGTTTAGCCTTGGCTTGCAGATGTACTCAAACTGAGTAATTTGTGTCATTCTTTAAGCATTGATGTCCTTTTGTTTAGCCTTGACTGGCAGATGTATGCAAACTTAGTCTTTTGCGTGATTCTTTAAGCATTGATGTTTATAGAACTGGTTTGCCTTTAGGTGAGCCTCAAGTAAGCATTTAAAACGATGCACAGGACTATCTTTTCTTTTATAAATTTAATTTTTTGGTTTTACTTGTTTAATTTATCTACTTTTATCTCGTATATAGATAATGATAAATTGAGCAGATAATGTACTGATATATTGAGTTATGGTGATTGGGCTTTATGGTGTTTTGAAGATATATGGGGCCATTGTTTGTGATCGCTCTGGATTTCTGACATTTGTCAATCGTGGTTTTCTTCTAACAGGGCTATGGTAGAACTAGGGATTTGGACAGTGAAGAACTATTGGAGCAGTTGCCTGCTCTGCAGCAGCTGCTGTATCGTCTCATTGGATGCCGGGTACTATTTTTTGAATCCAAAACTTATATCCTTCAGGACCTTCACCACTGAGACATTCATTTAAGTATTTTTGCTATAATGATCTTTGTATGGAGATTCCTAAATTATTTATTATGTATTAACGTCCATGAATGAAAATTGATATTGTATTTTGACTTTACAGCCTGAAGGTGCAGCCATTGGCAATTATGTAATACAGTATGCTCTTGCTCTGGTATGTGCACCTTTTTTTTTTTATTTATTTTTTTATTTTTAATGTTTTTGTTTGCTTTGTCGTACTCATGCCTAACTTGAATAGAAAAGTGTGTGGGTTTTGATTTTACAAATAGTTTTAAGATGGTCTTCTGATCTAAGACACTCAAAATTTTGTGAGGAATGTGTAAAGTAAGCACCAGTTTATAGCCCATGATAAAGTTAGATTGCCAATTATGAGTGCTGAAAAGTAAATAGAAAAATTAAAATAAAAAATCAAGAACTGGATCTACCAAACTCGAAATGACATGAGCATAATATGTTCTTTTGCTCTTCATACTTCGGAGTTAACGATATATATATTCCCTTCTGATGTTTTTTTTATTTTTTTATTTATTTTTTAATTTGTTTATTCGCTCTAGGTGGGAACATATTTTTCGTTCTTGCCACATGGTTTTAACATGCTCATGCGGAATTGATAAACACCTCTCCTTTTTTTGTGCTCAAGTGCATGTTTACGAAATTATATGTCTAGGAAGAAATTTTCTTTTTCAATCTTTCTATTTATATGTTTTTAAAATTGTGGTTTATGTTTTCTCGCTGAAAACGTTAGATTGACAGTTGTGAGAATAATATGTACCAAGAACTGGATCTACCAAACTCAAAATGACACGAGCATAATATGTTCTTTTGGTTTTCATACTTTGGAGTTAACGATATATGTATTCCCTTCTGATGTTTTTTATATTTATTTATTTATTTTTTTTGTTATTTGTTTATTTGGTCTAGGTGGGAACATATTTTTCGTTCTTGCCACATGGTTTTAACATGCTGATGCGGAATTGATAAACACGTCTTCTTTTTTTTGCTCGAGTGCATGTTTATGAAATTATATATCTAGGAAGAAATTTTCTTTTTCAATCTTTCCATTTATATGTTTTTAAAATTGTGGTTTATGTTTTCTTGCTGAAAACGTTAGATTGACAGTTGTGAGTACTGAAGAAAAAAGGGAAAAAAATAATCAAGTTGGGTATACCAAATAGGAAAAGACATAAGTGAAATCTGTTCTTGCATTTCATGCTTGAGATTGAACATTATAAATATGCCCTGATATTTTTCCCCCACTTGCTCTAGGTGAGAACTTATCGTTTGTGCTTGCCACATGGTTTAAAAATGCTCATGCGTAACTGATAATGCCATATTTCTGTGTGCAGGCTTGTAAAAATGTATAGCGACAAACAAATTTTTTTTGTTTTTTATTTTTAAACTTTGGTTTTATACTTCCTCAATGGCTCATATCCTGTAGCTGTCAAGAATAGTATCCTCCAATAATAACTTATCATATTACCTTGTCACTATTGTAATTTCAGGTACTCAAGGAGAGTTTTAAAATTTATTGTGCTATTAATGATGGAATTATTAATCTTGTTGACAAGGTACATTGGATTTATTTTTCTATTTATTTATTTTTACGAAATTACTTTACAAAGTATTACCTGACACTTCTACTTGTTTTGCCAATTTTTATTTCAGTTTTTTGAGATGCCAAGACATGAAGCTATTAAAGCCCTAGATATCTATAAAAGAGCTGGCCAGCAGGTAATACCTTTTTTTTTTTGGGTAGGTAGGGTTTGTATCTAGTTTGTTGATTCATTGTGAATCTTCTTGATTGACTGCTATTATGTTTTTTCAAAATTACTTGCGATATGAATTAATTGAAAGCGTGGTGGCTTGAAGTCTAGCCTTTATAGTGGTTGTCAGCATTTCAGTTTTATGGTGTATTACTCAAGAAATGGGTTTTTACTGCAGGCTGGGAACCTTTCTGATTTTTATGAAGTTTGCAGAGGATTGGAACTTGCTAGAAATTTTCAATTTCCTGTTTTGAAAGAAGTAATGATGCTTACTGAGATATAACATCTTTGTTGGTTTTTGGTTATTTTCTTTGATGTGATTGTTACAAATGATGCCAGCTTGACACTTGTTCACCTTTTCCAGCCTCCACAGTCCTTTCTTATCACTATGGAGGAGTATATAAGAGAGGCACCACGGATGGTTTCTGTTCCAAGGGACACATTGGTCAGTATGATTATTTGACATGCAAGACCTAATTGTGTTGCACAATATATTTCCTGTTTGAGTTAACAGCTTAGTTTGTGTTCCACTCACCAATCATTATTGTTGTGATATAAACATATTTAACTCTTTGTTCCATGTTAATTTTAATTCTGGTTTAGAAGTTAATTGCTACATAACTAATATGTGGTCATTATGAACCAGGAATATCCCGAAAGGCTTCAGTTGACATATAAACCAGAAGAAGAGCTCTCTCCTTCTGAAGATACGAAATTATCAGTTGATGAACCCATGCCACTGCCTCCAGATATTACATTCTCAAATGTTGAGGTCACTCCCTCACCTCCTCCCCCAACCATGGACACTGGAGATCTACTGGTGAATTACTTGATTCTTATTTTTGGTTAACCTCTCTCTTTACTTTTCTTTTTTCTTTCATTAATCTTTTTCTTATTTTTCATTGTTTCAGGGATTAACTGTTACCACACCTGATGCATCTGCAATCGAGGAAAGTAATGCTTTGGCTTTAGCTATAGTTCCAACTGGTAACAATCTCTCTCTCTCTCTCTGTGTCAATGTATCTAACTTAATGACACATTATGTTTTAGCAAGGAAAGGCTTAATAATGTCACATCTCCAGGTACTGCATCATTGGACTCTGGTGCTGTTCAAACAAATGGTTTTGATCCTACTGGATGGGAACTTGCTTTGGTCACCGCTCCTAGTAGCGATATTTCTTCAGTCAACGAGAGGCAGTTGGTAGGATATCCTATTTGCTTTTATTTTTTTAATTTTTTTACTTATGATATTTGTTGCATATAGATAAGAAACATATATTACTACCGTTCACACTAAAAAAAGTGAGAACGAAGTGTTGGTTCTTCCCACATGTAGGATACATGTTATAATTATATTGGTCAAAACTCTGAGATAGACAAATTAATGTTAGGTTTTTTTTTGGAAAGAAATCATCAAAAGTTAATTTTGGTGAGGAAAATTTGGAACAATAAGATTTCTTTTGGTTCTTATATGAGTTAGTTAGGGCACCACTATTTGTCCTGAGAACATGCATATAGTAGTCTGATGTTTCGTAAGAACATGAGTTGAAAATTTCTCTGTGTATTTCTAAAAAGTCTTCAAGCCATAGTCATCAGAAGACACCTTGTCCCTTGCTATCATTGTTTGGCACACACATTCAACACTTCCATTCCAAATATGTTAAAGTTTGGCAATATAAAATATCGAGAAACCAAAGAGGAAAAGCAATCTACAGTCGAGCACCTTGCTTGTGTCGGAATCGGTGTCGGAGGCCCCTCATCTTATTCTCTCTTTGGTTTTCCTTATTAAAGAAGAAAAATAGGAAAGGACCATTGCATATCAACATAAATAGGTTAACACTGTTACATTTACATGATTCATTCCATTGTAGTAAATTTCAGTAACTGTATGGATAAATTGTGCACTTTAATAATACTAAATCTCATTAGATATCTAGTTGAAAAGATGGTGTAAATAATTAATCTAGATCGGAACCTTTTAGTGTATAGCTTAAGCTTTTGAAATAGTGGGTCGGTAAGTAAAATTAATTATGGGTTTGATCCTTCTCTTTGATAATTATAATTGGAGTAACATCTCTCATTTTCTTGAGAATTTCAAAACTTTGTATTGCGCCAGTTTTACAATTAAATTATCAAGTCAAATTCTATCTATAGATGTGTATCCTACTCATCACATTTCGAGTATGTGTGTGCTACGTTTGTTTTCTCGTTTTGAGTATCACAACAATCTGCATTTCATGTTAAGATTTCAAACTTGTAACTAGCAAAATAACTAACCAAATAGCCTAATGGTACTTACACCTTCCAAAGAAGAAGGTTGGGAGTTCAAGTCCCCATGGGAGCAAAGTGCATTACCATTAATTACATTATATGTTTAATTGTTTCATTGCCGTTGCAAATTTCAAACATCAAGATTTATTGTATGATCTTATGAATGTTCTCCGACCACTGTGAATGAATGTCAGGGTGGAGGATTGGACACTCTCATTCTAAATAGTTTGTATGACGAAGGATCATACAGAGCCTCCCAGCAGCCAGTATATGGAGCGCCTGCCCCAAATCCGTTTGAGGTACCAGATCCATTTGCTTTGTCAAACAACATCGCGCCTCATCCATCAGTTCAAATGGCAGCAATGGCTCAACAGCAGGCAAATCCCTTTGGTCCTTACCAACCTGCCTATCCACACCCACAGCCGCAGCAGCAACAACATTTGATGATGGGACCACAAAATCCCTTTGGTGATGCTACCGGGTTTGGAGCATTTCCCTCGAACCCTGCTACTCACCCACAAACAAACAATCCATTTGGAACCACCGGCTTACTGTAACGACATGTTGGAACATAATACATAGTGTATAATCTACGCCGCCCGGCACAGTTGATTTTGGTGTATTTGGAGTTGGCAAGCAGTGGCTTTGTTTATTCTATACACATGAGGGGTGTTTTGAAGCCTGAAATCATATTTTTCTTTCAGAGTTGTAAAAGACAGTGATTTGATTTTGAAGATGTAACATTTGTAGTTAAGATGATTTGAGGTTAATCCGCATAATATGAATCTGTTGTGATCTCTTTAATAAGATGTATATTGAGGAAATGGTAGTTGTGATTGTCCAGAATAGGTCAAGTGTAACATCTTTATTGGTGAAGGGGTGTTGCAAGTTTTAAACAGTCAAGTTGATTTGGTTTGTTAAAGAAATAAATTATTTATAGTGTAATATATATTTATATATATGGAAAAGCCTTGCTTTGTAATCAGTTTATTTGCAAACCCTTTTAATCACATTACATAATGTGGATATGGCTTGTGTGGAGAATAAGGATGAACAATGTTAAAAGTGGGACCTAGTTGGTAGAGGATACAGCTTTTCGAGCAGGCATGTCCGTGTTTGATTCCCCACTTTTCTAGTTTGTCAGGTAATAATATTAATAAAAAAAAGAGACCTTTAGGGCGAAAATTTGGCGTTCTTCATATTTAATATACAAATAAAAATTTAATTAAATTTATATAATAGAAGAATAATCTATATTGGAGGTTTGATGTAAGGGAAGTGAAATTGTATGAGATTGAAAGGGAAATCAAAGAACAGATGGAATGTCAACTTTACATAGTTCCATGTATGTTTTTATGTTAGGGTAAATTGTAGTGACACCACTCCATATTTGCCTAAAAGACAGGTAGATACAAATTGCCCTCCATATTTGCCTAAAAGACAGGTAGATACAAATTGAAGAGAGTGTGATCCACTTGCCCCCTTAGGTTTGCAAACTTGAATATTGACACCCGTTTTATAAATAAGGAGCCAAACACAGCTTTAAGTGACATGAAATGTCTAATATGATCTTGAAACGTTAGAAAGATCTGCATTTGTCCTGCTAACAACATAAGGGTAGAAATTTTAACAGTTGTCTACATGCATGAGAGTCCCTTATCATTACAATTCTGTTGTCATTATCTAACCATTATTGAGGTGCTTATATATATATATATACATGTAATTAAGAACTTAATGAAAGACTGGTTCAACAATTACCAATTCTAAAGAAATACAGAGTAATAGATGAGAAACTGATATGTCTTAAAAAAATAAATGACAGATGGGTAATTAGCTAATAAAATTGTTTTCTGATTTACATCACAAGATCGTCAAAATGTTTAACTAAGAAGCAGGGTGTAAAAAATAATATTGATTGGTACATGAACAATATCTACTTAGATTAAGAGATTGAAGGTTCGAGGAATAAAGTAAAGACTCAAGGAATGGAAGAACATATTTTTGTAGCTAGCAGGGACTTTAATACAATAAATTTTGATGAACATCAATTCGGGAAAAAGAAAAAATAAAAGAAATGGACGATTTTAATCAACATGTGGTGTTGAGTAATGAAAATCATATGCAGTTGATTCAATATCTGCAACTGCATGTGAGTTCGATAGAGTCAGTGACCAATTCGCGTTGTGGAGGTTGTGGTGGTGTCTCGTCAGTGGTGGTTGTGGTGATAACCGATGAGAGGAGAGAGAGAAAGAGGGGGTGGGTGGTGGTGGTGATGTTGGCGGTGGTGGTGTTGAAGGTAGAAATTTGTATACATATGGTTGTATATTCACTTAGGGTAGTATGGTCATTTTAGGTGGTCATAGGGTAAATATGTATTTTCATTATGGTTGGGGTGTCTTTATCTAGTTTTTTAAACTTAGGGGGTGTCATTGTCCAATAATAGTCTAAGTTATATCTACCTGTCTTTTAGGCAAACTTGGGGGGGTGTCACTGTAATTTACCCTTTACGTTAAATAATCTATTTTTGTCTTGGCAGAATTACGGTGATTAACCATTAATATGATAAATAACAAACTTTCAAAATGAAAGATAAGGATTCGAGTCAAGTCCAAACGTAGAAATTTGAGTGTGAGTTTCTTGTGAAGGAAAACAAATAACCCTACAAATGGAATAGTGGTACTCATATAAATATTATATATAAAAAACTTTAGTGGTATTTTATTTTATTATTTAACCTTAAAAATCTTTAAGTTAACCTTAATCAGCTTAAAGTAGAGCATGAGTAGGCATGATAATGAAATAATAGAATTCTTTTGTTTGGTGTAATGATGAAAAATGGAGTTGTTGTAGGGTATGAATTATAAGTCACTTTCTCCCTACTTCCACCGATTGAGCCAAACAGGATTTTGCCTGCACACTTGAAGGAGGTACCAAATATATATATATATATATATATATATATTGAGGGAGAGAATGTAATATATATATATATATATATATTTTTTACGCTAGTTCCCATACACACATTTATTCACGTCGAGGCTCAGAGTAATACCATTGGACTAATGGTTCATTGGTATAATATACTATTTTATACAAAAAAAAAAAAAAAAAAAAAAAAAAAAAGGAAAAAAAAAAAAAAGAAAAGAAAAGAAAAGAAAAAAGTCTTGTTCATTTTATTCAAATGAAATGACTCATTTGATGCTCAAAGCTAGATGTATGTGTGTTTTTTTTTTTTTTTTTTTCTTTCTAAAACTTAATATTTATCTAATTAATATATTTTAAATTTGCGTTGGAATCCTATTCTTCTAAAAGTAATTAGAAAACCATCATGTCATCTTCTAAAAATATTCCAAACGTGTGTATCGTCAATATCCAAACCAAATTTAAAAAAAAAAAAAAAAAAAAAAAAAAAAAAAATTGAAAAATTAAATTAAATTAGTTTAGGAGCAGAAACTACTAAACCACTTCGGTAAATGACATCTTTGAAAATTTTCAAATTTGAAATATTTGTAAGTAAGTCAAACATGGAACACGTGTCCATTACCAGCACTACACCCATATGAGAAAGTGTCTTTTGCTTCCGATGTGATTGCTTTTATATATTCAGTATTGCAGTCCATATCGAGATGGAGCTACTTGAATGCGCAAGGCCACTTGAATGTAGCAAAGATCACAATGGTCTAAATGCATAGTTGTTCATCAACTTTGGCTTTTGGTTTTGGTTTTGGTTGGATACCTAATTTTCCATTTGAATTTCTTTATTTTCTTCAAACACTGGGGAAGTTCAATGCTTAATATTGATGTTGACTGCATAAAATGGGGTACAACAATGGTTCGCATATTCGCAGTTGTGGTATCGTTCGCGATGACAGTGAAACGGATTAGGATAAATATTGTTATAAAAGCGGTCGAACCAGTCATAATTTGCAGTCACGGTATCGATCGTGGTGTAATAGATTCGGGCAAATATTAGTATAAATTGATCGGTTCATGAAGGTGTGTAACGGTATCAAATCATTAAAAAAGATTACAAACTGGTTGATACATCGCGTATCGGCCGATACGGAGGTTCCTGTACATATGAAACAGAAATTTGGTGGTAGGGTATTTACAAAAGCCCATATCCTTTGTTAATTAAATATGTTTTCAAGGAATTAAATTTACTCACTTTCAGTCAGATTTAACGTGTTAAAAAAATTACTATATTAAAAACAGTATGAATGTATTAAAAAACATAATTAATGTGTTGACTACGATCCAAATGCTATTTACAAATGTGAGAAAGTTCAATGGCAAAAAAAAAAAAAAGGGGTAATACTAATAATAAAAAAATAATAATAATAAAAATATAAGCTGAAGCATTTTATAATTATGTGAGCCTGCTCATTTTACATGTTATAGATACATGTAAGACATATAGATATATTATATATGTCTATAAACACGCACGAGAGAGGGAAGGGAGAAAAGCAACGGGGAGAATTGAATGACGTATACTAGTTAATTAATGGTATAAACTATAATTTATATAAGCAGAGTAGGCTTTTCCATGTTGCACGATAGAAGGCAAAGAATAAGAATGGTCCCCAACCATGTTTTCAAATGCTCCCAAATCAACATCATTACAGTAGCACTCCCCATTTGAGATAGATTCACTCTTTTTCTTCATATTTTACTTTTTGATTCCTTTTTTTACTCCTCTCTAATATTATATATATATATGTGTGTGTGTGTGTGGGTGTTTTTTTTTTTTTTTTTTTTTTATAATTCATGAATCCCAAATTTAAAGACAAAAAACATCCTCTGATCTTATATAAAGTTACTTCGTATAGAGTAAAAAACAGGAGAGAGCTGTTTGAAATTTGTGTTGAAATTTTCTTAAAATTGATTTAAAAATGAAAAATACTTGGGTCCTCACGGTTGAGGATGTATTGCACCGTGATTGTTGAAGTGGACTAATTGTTGGGATTTATATGCCCTGGCATAGCAAATTCCTATCTGGATTGTATTGACATATGTTCCTGACATATCTGAAATATTTATGATTTATATAATTGGTGAATTCAATGTATTATGTTTCAATTCACTATGAAATTGATAGTGTCCAGTTAATTACAAGAAATATTTATATATATGTATGTGATGACAATCAATGCATGATATATAAATAGTAATTATAAATTGTTCATAGTCGGTAATTATGGATGGACTCATAATTAATTAAGACTTGAACTGGATCCGCGTTAGGTTGAGATATATTGCGAGAGCCGTCGTATGCAATTACTCCCTATCACCGTCATGGCATTTGACTCTTAAGCATGAAAAAAGTATAGACTCTTTTATTAATTAATAATTACTTTGATTTGTTCGGCGGATTCTTCGGAATCCTTAGACCGACACTTTGTGTAGTTATGTAATTAATAGTTAGAGGGTTATATTTTCAATATTTGCATCATTGCTACTTGTATTTATTTTGTATTGATTATGGTTGATCACAAAGTAAATTCGAAGGCCTTCGTGTGTTTTTAGACAAAATGATTTATTATATATTTATTTATTTAAATTATTATTTTTGTCAAACAAATGTTTTATTGTGATCGAGCCAGAAATAATCAAAGGTACCAAAATAAATATATTAATTAAGTAGTCGGATTGATGGCTATATTTATCCGATAACTAATTATGCATAGAGGGGTCAAAGTGCAATATTGACTTAGAGGTTATTTATTATTTAATTGGAGTTCAATTAATTTCTTTTAGTGGAGTAGAAATTAATTTATGAATTAATTGAATTGGGTCCATGGACCGGGCCAATTAT